AAAAAAAAAAAAGGGAAAAAAGGAGACAAACCACAAAACAGACTCTTAACTATAGAGAACAAACAGATGGTTCCCAGAAGGGAGGTAGGTGGGGGGAGGGGTGAAACAGGTGATGGGGATTAATAGTACATTTACCTTGAGAGCACTCAGTGCAACTAGTGAATCACCTCATTGTACACCTGAAACTAACTTTATGTTAACTACGCTGGAATTAAATTTTTTAATTTTTTTTTTAAAAGCTGAAAGTCAACGTAGTACAACTAAATTCATAAAGCCAAGAACAAAAACCGTAAAGAAGCATATCATAATCATATATTTATGCTTGTATGTTCGATGAACAAGAAAAATGTCTGTTTTTCCTTTTAACATTTCTGTAACAAATCTACCAATCTCAAAAATTATAATGATCCTGGTTATTCGGATATTGAGACTAAAGTCTTGATTAACAAGGACTCAAAGAACCAGAACTCTCAAGTAACTGGATTTTTTTCTTTTGGCATTTGATTTTTAGGGTGGATAAATGATACTAAAATGTACTATAATGCTGCCACTGTCTATTCTGCCCCTTCGGCTTATGAACCAAGATGAGTTTAAAATGAGAATCTGTCCTCAGATCCCCTCTCCTTTGTCATCCCCCTCCCATCCCACCCCTACCCCACAACAAAACAAGTTCTTCCTAAGGGATTCATTGCCAATCATAACCGGAGTCAAGCTTGGCCAAAAATGAAGACATAGGAACATATAAACTCTTAACAAATCTTACAAATTCTCAGTCATGGGGTGCCTGGGTGGCTCAGCCAGTTAAGCGTCTGCCTTCTGCTCAGGTTATGATCTAGGGGTCCTGAGATTGAGCTCCCGTCATCGGGCTCCCTATTCATCAGGGAGTCTGCTTCTCCCTCTCCCTCTGCTCCTCCTCCCACTCATGCTTTCTCATTCCCTCTCTCAAATAAATAACCTTTAAAAAAAAAGTCTCAGTCATAATCTTTTGCATAATTCCTGGCTTTCTTCTAAACTAGAATCCAAGTTCCCTTAGCCAAAATTAAACTTAAACCAAATTACCCTAAGTATCCTGATTAAACCTTTAACAGAATAATAATAATAATTACTATTATTATTTTTGCCTCTAGTTATTTATCGTATCTGCTTATAACTTTTAAGGTCAAAGTTTTAAAAAAAATCTTACATGAAAATGTTATACTCACAAATTCATGACATTCTGTACAAGGTTACTGTAAAATTGTTTATAATAAAAGATCAAAAACAATCTAGTTTTCAGAGAGAAATAGTTAAATAAATAATATATCCATACAATGGAATGTATGTAGCCATAAAAAAATTAAAAATCAATTTCCAAAGTATCTTAAGTTTAAAAAGCAAGGTACAAAACAACGCATACATTGTACTTCCATTTGTGTATAATACACTATCCATTTGTAAAAAATGTCCATATACCTAAATATAAGTATTTGCTTATATATGCATGAAATATTCTGGGAAAACAGACAAGAAACTGATAACTCTGGAAAGAAAAAGTACTGGTTGGGTGGCAGGAGTGAAAGGAAGCATCCATTTTCTACCCTTTGAATTTTGAGCCACATAAAGGTAAATTTCACTAAAAAATTTTTAGACACAATAAACCCATTTGATGACCACAACAACACTGGGAGGTAGACAGGCAGATGCATTCCACCATGTAGATGCAGAGGAGGAAAACAAGATTTGGGTGCTGGGTGATTTGCCAAAGGCAATATTAACTGTTAGATTATAGCACATGGACCCAACCCCAAATCTGACATGCCAAAATGTATCTTCTTCAAACGATAGTTGGTACCAACATATTTTTAAAAGTAAAGCAAACAGTTTTCTCAGAGCAACAATAGTCACTTCTAAATCCTCCTTTAAGATGGGGATGGCCCAAGTGTGTATCAGGGAAGAACCCTGAGTAAGAAGTCCCTGCCTCAAATCCCCCACTGTCCAAGGCTGTGTAAGAACACTGAAGTGATCAAAATATATAGAGACACATTAATATCCAGAGATGTTACACAACCCCATACATGTTTCCTTCTACTCTCAGCTACATGGTGCCCTTTGCAAGCTGGACATATATCAAGTAAGTTACCCCCTTAACTCACAGGATTTTTTTTAAGATTTTATTTATTTATTTGAGAGAGAGAGAGAGAAAGGGAGGAAGGGAGCGTGCACACATGAGCAGGGGAGGGGCAGAGGGAGCTGCAGACTCCCCACTGCGCAGGGAGCCTGATGCAGGGCTCCAGGATCATGACCTGAGCTGAAGGCACATGCTTAATCAACTGAGCCACCCAGGCGCCCCAGCTCACAGGAGTTCTTGCTGTGGGGTTGACCTAGTCTATAACTGGGAAGAAAGTGAGGAAAAATTTGGCAGTCCTTTTTTTCATCTGAAATCTATAAATTTACATATTTGTACCATATTCTGAGGTGCTTCATCTATCACTTCTCTTGTGCCAAAAGAGCTTACCTTTTATTCATGGCCATGTGAAGGGACAACACATATGTCTAAAAACTGGAGGATGTCTAGATGACTTCTGGGCACTATTTCCAGCTCACCTGTCCCACAGACCTAACCTGTACCTTTTCTCTATGAAGTTGACCTTTGAACAACACAAGAGTTAGGGGCGTTGACCCCTACATCAAAATCCACATATAACCTTTGGCTCCCCAAAAACTTAACTACTAATAGCCTGCTGTTGACCAAAAGCCTTACCGATAACATAGTTGATTAACACATATTTTGTATCTTACTTGTATTATACCCTGTATTCTTACAATATCTCTCTTTTTACAATTTTTTACTTCTAGGCTACACAGTTTGTGAGTTTTTTCAAATTGTCACAAATCTCCAAAGAATTTTCCAATATATTTATTGAAAAAAATCCTCACGTATGTGGACTTCCACAGTTCAAACTCATGTTGTTCAAGGGTCAACTGTATTTGTCTCTAAATAGTCCTTGAAACCCATTAGAGGGTCCTATATAGGTTTCGAAATAAGGCATTTTTTCCTAAGAGGGCTTTCCCCCTTATAATTCTCCTTTCTTCCCATGACCAACTTTCAAACTTAGATTTTAAATAGTGGGGCAGACAGGGGTCAAGAGATTCATTGTTTAACCTGCTAAACTTTTTCTCTCACATTGGGAAATTCATCTTTTAAAAACCTGATAAAGGGGCGCCTGGGTGGCTCAGTCGCTAAGTGTCTGTCTTCGGCTCAGGTCATGATCCCGGGGTTCTGGGATCGAGCCCCTCATCGGGCTCCCTGCTCAGTGGGAAGTCTGTTCTCCCTCTCCTACTCCCCCTGCTTGTGTTCCCTCTCTCGCTGTGTCTCTCTCTGTCAAACAAATAAAATCTTTTAAAAAAACCAAACAAACCTGATAAAGACACTCAGTAAAGTATTTTGAAATAACCATTAAATAATACTTTAAATAGAACCTTTCTTTTCTTTTGCAGGATAAACTCAAAGCTGGCAATGCCCTAGCATTTTTGGGCCTCGAAAGAAAACAATTTGAATGACTGGATTTCCTACAAAGGCAAACATTCAAGAAGTTATTTTATTTTTGCTTTTAAATATGTATCACACATGCATTACTAAAATCTTATTTGGAACTATTTTACCCAGAAATAGATGTTCTAAATAATGTTCTTAATTATTCATAACAAAAATGACTCACAGAATATGTTTTCATTCTGAAAAACAGCACATTATTTTATGCACAAATCAAAAATGATTTTCCCAACACTTTTTAAATTAATGTCAGAAATAAAAAGCAAAATGTCATTAATGATTTATATGTAGAAAGACCAACCACCAGACTCATCCTGGAGGGCTGAGGTAGGTTCTCCACTTTGAGCAAGTATATGTGAATAGGGCCCAAATAACCCATTTTTATCCACTTTTAACACCCTCCATTAGTCCACAACTGGGCTGGGAATGCTTTACAATCCAAAAAAATAAGTGATACATATATTGCATCATCTCTAGAGGGCTTATAGTCCAATTAAAGAGGCAAGACACATGTTCATGGAATAATTACTAAGCAATACAATCGGAAGCACAGAAGTTTCAGTAAGAAAAACTCATCTGGGGGGGCGCCTGGGTGGCTCAGTTGGTTAAGCAACTGCCTTCGGCTCAGGTCATGATCCTGGAGTCCCGGGATCGAGTCCCGCATCGGACTCCCTGCTCAGCGGGGAGTCTGCTTCTCCCTCTGATCCTCCGCCTCTCATGCTCTCTGTCTCCCATTCTCTCTCTCAGATAAATAAATAAAAAATCTTTAAAAAAAAAAAAGAAAAACTCATCTGGATTCAAACTTGGGCAGATCTTCACAGAACTCGGGCTGAGTCTCTAAGGATGGACAAGCCTAGTTGGAAGATGGGAAATAGACAAAGAGGCAAATCTACAAGAACAGGAATTTCAGACAGAATGAGAACTTACCTATTCTGAAGAAAAGCTCCAGTCTATAATTTGCTTTTACCAGAAGCTCTTTTAATTTAAAATACTGAGCAAAATGTGTAAAGCTAGTTATGGAGATTGAGCAAGGAAATACCAGGGTAGCTTTGTTCTACTTACTTCATTTATAGTTGTCCCATCCGGGCTGCTGAAAATGAACTTGGTCCTGGGAGGGGTGATGAACATCTGTGGTTCATGTACCTCTGGCTGAATTCTAAAACCAAATACAATTTTTCAAAATGACCCTCTTGGGGCGCCTGGGTGGCTCAGTCATTAAGCATCTGCCTTCGGCTCAGGTCATGGTCCCAGGGTCCTGGAATCAAGCCCCGCATCGGGCTCCTTGCTCGGCAGGAAGCCTGCTTCTCCCTCTGACCCTCCCCCCTCTCATGTGCTCTCTCTCTCATTCTCTCTCTCTCAAATAAACAAAATCTTAAAAATAAATAAAAAATAAATAAATAAAACCTAAATAAATGGAAAGATATACAGTGTTTAAGAATCCAAGAACTCAATATTAAGATGCCAATTTTCTCAAAATTAATCTATACATTCAATGTAATCCAAGCTGAGTCCAATATATATAGGGATATACAAAGGACCAGAAAGCCAAAATAATTTAGAAAAAGAAAAGTAAAATTGGAGACTTGCACTGACTTAAGAGCTACTATAAAGCTATAGCAGTCAACACAATGTGGTGTTGACATAAGGTCAGGCAAATAGATTGATGTAATAGACTATAAGAGTGCAGAAATAGTCTCACTTTTATATGATCAATTCATTTCTGACAAATGTACAAAAACAACTAAATGGGGAAAGGAAAGCTATCTCACAAATGGGACTGGCACGAGTAGATATTCATATAGGGGGGGAAATGAAATTTGACTTTACCTCACACCATAAACAAAACTTAATTTGAGAAGGATCATACACCTAAGCATAAAGCTGAAACTATAAGGCTCCAAGAAAAAAATATAGAAGAATATCTCTTTAACATGGTAGCCAACAAAAATTTGTTGGGCAGGACACAGAAAACAGTAAACATTTTTTAAAAAGACAAGTTAAACTTCATCAAATTAAATACTTTATCTCATCATAAGAAAAATTAAGTGAAAAGGCAAGCCACGGAATGGTGGAAATATTCATAAAATATATGTATGACAATGGACTTACATCCAAAATAAAGAACTACTACAACTCAATAATAAAAAAACAAATGATCCAATTTAAAATGGACAAAAGACTTCAATAGCCATTCTGCAAAAGATGTACAACTAGCCAATAAACATGTTTAAAGATACCAAGGGAAACGGGTGAAAGTGGTCAAAAGATCCAAACATCCAGTTGTAAGATAAGTTCTGGGGATGTAATGTACAGCATGGTAGCTATAGCTAACAATACTGTACTGTGTATTTAAAAGTTGCTAAGAGAGTGGGGCGCCTGGGTGGCTCAGTTGG